TGTGTGTGTGTGTGTGTGTGTGTGTTTGTGTGTGTGTGTGCGTGTGTGCGTGTGTATTGAGTGTGTGCGCCCGCGAGCGTGCATGTATGCATTCCTCTCGAATTTTCAGTTGTTTCCTTAACAAAAAATGAATAATTGAAACACTAAGAGTAATTACTCCTGTCTGCCACTCGCAGTATAATATGATAATTATCAGACGTCCATGTGAGAACAGTGAATGTTGAACAGAGATAATTAGAATACCCTTTTTTTCCCTCATTTAAAGCGATTTCCCATGTGGAGGTAATTTTGGACTAAATAATATAGTGAACGATTGCACCACTATGCATCTCAGTTGCGAGAAAGAAACGACACTAGATTGTAGTGTGATTGTAGTGCCGGGCGTTGACCTAGTGCAAATTGCAACAACTTTTAGGATGATTCTCCCTACCCCTTGTTCAATGTTCCAAACTGAAGTTCTTCTTTTCTTCGAAATCTCTCCCCCCCCCCCCCCCCCCCCCCCCACGCTCCATTCTCACCCCCAGCACTTTTTGTGTCTTCAAACATTCAATACTTGTCAAAGATGCTATTTTCCCCTCTGTGCCCTTTTGAGGCCAGAATCAATCTCAGTCTGTCTTTTAAAATATTCACTTCTTCCCGAGTTGCATTGGCTTCTAATCTTTCCCCCACTAACTCCAGCAAGAATCTATCCTGTTCAAACACTGCCTGTCCTAACGTTTTCCTCCTGTATACCCTCAATGTTTGATGAGGTTAATCAAACAGGTAAATATAAAAGGTTGCTCACCATCCACTTGTTAATACCATTGTCTTCCCTTAGGAATTTGCCTCCTCAGCGAAAATAGTCATGAAGCTCTTTTGGACTTCATTTTCTAAGTCACGTTTTACCTATCACTTTAATATTATTCGTTACACCTCGTGTTTCACTTTTCAGAGTGGTGAATAATGTTAAGCTTTACAGCCTCCTGAACACAAAGAAGAGAGAAGCAGGATGTTCTCTCTCTCTCTCTCTCTCTCTCTCTCTCTCTATCTCTATCTCTCTCTCTCTCTCTCTCTCTCTCTCTCTTTCTGTGTCTGTCTATATCTGAAATTTTGTCCGTCTGTTAGTCTGCCAGACTCTATAATTTGTTCTGTTCTCGGACTGAATACGTTTAGACACAACAAAGAAAAGGAAACGATCAAACATGTTGTCCCAAGAAGAAACCATTAAAGAAAATACACGAAAGTATTGGCCAATGCTGAAATGTGTTTTGAATAAAACTTCTGGCAATCAAAAAAGTATTAGTTGGTCGGATGGTCCTCAACAGATACAGGAGCAAAAAAGTCTTTACTAAGTGAAACAATACTTACAGACTACAATCCTACTCTGGGATGTCCCCTAAAAACTGAAGACGGATCTACGAGTAATAATATACTTTATCTGTGACGCAACCAAAACGTCAGGTGCTCAGTGCTGTTTTTTTAATACATGTATACAACATAGGTGTGACAGTTCCAAACATCCCAACTGTACTTCTCCAGTACCTGGCAAAGGACCCCGACAACAAACATTTGCTGTTATCATTATGTATCTGCCCCCGCTTCAAACGAGTGAAGGAAAGAAGGAAGACAAGGTGATTGAAGGACAGTTTGGAGGTAGCTAGGATGGAGGGAGGAAAGGCGGGGAATAACGAAATGAGCATGGCAATAATCTGAAATAAAAGAAGAAACAAATCTCCCAAAACTACCCCCAGAAAATTTCCCAACCAACATTTTAAAATAATAATAATAATAATGATAATAATAATAATAATAATAATAATAATAATAAAAATAATAATAATAATATATAACATTTATATGGCGCATTAAAAAAAAGCAGCTCACATAGTGCATAAAAAAAGCAGCTCAATGCGCTTTACATGGGAATACCCATTTTCAAAATCTTTCTTACTACTTCCTTTCTTCTCATGCAATAAAAGAATATATTTATGCACACACACACACACACACAAACACACACACACACACACACACACACACACACACACACACACACACACACACACACACAAGCACGCACGCACGCGCACACATACGCACACACACGCGCGCGCATGCGGACTATTTTCATTCAGACGTAGGCATAGAACAACTATAAAAAAAATAACGCTAAAAGCTTATGAAGGATGGGCCTGTAGGAACAGAAAATGCCTTTCAATTTCAAAATGTTGCTTTTTAGCTCATGACCGGGAATGTTCCCCACCCCTCCACAAAAGCCCCAACCAACAATGCTTGATACCATAAACAGATTCAATAGTCACTGCCAGTGTTAGTTTTGTCTCTGAGTGGTTGGGAACGGTGAAGACAAAATCATACGTGCTTTTTTCTGATTTATTTCCCCACTTGAATTAACAATACGGACCAGAGCCCACTAAACGTTTTCTACTTTTCAAAAAAAAAAAAATACGATGAAGCCCCGAAAGTGTTTTCGACGTCTATCTTTTGAGGCCACATGGCATGCTGCAGCTCGGCAGCTGCGCAACTCTACCATGTCACGGTTTCATATTAGTCAACCTTCCAACCAGAGGCAGCCATATTCCAAAAACTACGGTCTTTTGATTACAGGCCTTAAGTCATAACTACTAGACCAGTGTGCATTCCTTGTTTTCTCCATTTACCGTTATTGTCTGTTAAATTCTTCCATTCCATAATCGTACCCGATTAAACAACAGCTCATTTAATTTTTCTCTTACCATTTCAATTGATACGATGTTGTAAAACCTAAGGGCCGCAACTGCTGAATTGTTCCAACCCAAAATCTTTTACTTCCCTTTTTTCCTCAGCATTGCCATTGCGTATTCCGTTGATGCCAAACACACGACTCACTGCTTCATGAATCAATACTTGAGAACACATTGGGTAGCTTGCAAAATGTATACTAGAGACAGAGCTGTCCACAAATTAATCCAGACCTTCATTTTCCTCACGGTAAGAAAATATTATCATCTTTTCTTATTTTCTTGCATTTTTTTTGTAACGGACATTGAAACTTACTGTGTCTCTTTTCGACACGGATATCTTTTGCATTGTAAAAGGTTATTCAACTTGTCCATTTTTTTATCTGGGTCTGGGTACACAATCGTATTGGCGAGAATACATACAAGACTGAATCGTACTTATTTCATATCGGTAAAGGTCTAGTTGAAGTTTCTGTTCGGAACTTACTTGGTCTACTACACACCTTAAGGGTCTTCACTCTCTGTGGGGCCAACAAGAGGGTAGCCATGACATCATGCATGCAAGATGATCTTATCTTGTTGTAACTTTTAGTATACGGGAGGCTAGGCTGATTCTACATTTATTGTACGCAAAATCTTATCCTGTTTTAACTCCTAGTATACGGGAGGCTACGCTGATTCCACATTTATTGTACGCAACAAATTTTGAGTATCATAAACGTCCCTATAACACTGTTAGCATTTAACCTCCTTCATTTCTATTAAACACTTCATAAAATAAACTTATAGTTCGATAACATTTAGGAAGGACTGACTAAGGATTGGTATTTTTGCTTTTACTGTAAACAACCGAATGATGCCGTACACCAGCTTACTTATCTCGCCGTGCACTAAGTTAAGAAGGGGGACCATAGCTACACATTTCCCCACCAATCAAACAGATATCGGCACATTAGAACTGTGAATCTAAATTTTAATCTCATAGTTCTTGGGGCGAGTGCTCATTATTAATAAGATTTTAAAAGAACGACGGCCATCGTAAAGATACAAAAACGTTACACCGCTGAACCTGTCCACCGCTCCGATGATGAAAAAGATGATGACTGGTGCAACAGCTTGACAGCTCTCGCAGTCGTAGCCTTTTTCACCCTGGATCAGGATATAGGCCACGAACAAACACTTTCAACCTTTCCACATCCTGGGCGAGTCACATGGTGTCACTCCATGTCTGCCCACTTTTCTGTACATCCATTTCCGTGACTCTTCTCCAGGTTCCACGTGGTCTTTCCCTTGACATTTTATCCTATGAGCTCTAATCTAACACTTTCCTTGTTATGTTGCTGCTTGGCTTCCTGAAAGTGTGTCCAATCCATCGCCAATGCCTTCTTCCCACCTCATCTCTGACTGGGCTCTGTCTCGTTCTTCTTAATACTTCCTCGCTGGTGATCCTGTCTGTCCATCTGATCCCCAGTAGCTTCCTCAGACACTTGTTCCAAAAAACCTGGATCCTCTTTAAGCACGTCTGAGATGCGTTCCATGTTTCACATCCGTACAACAGGACTGACTTCATATTTGAGTTGAAAATCCTCAGCTTTGTTCGTAGAGAGATATCCCTGGTCCTCCAAATATTGTTTCAAAGAAATAAATGCAGTCTGTGCCTTTCCAATACGGGACTTTATTTCAGTGCCTGTTCCTCCCTCTCTGTCAATTATACTCCCAAGATAACAGGATTCGACGTCTTCTAGTGCATATTTTCCTCTTATGTTACCTGCTTATTTTATTTCGTAGTGCATCTATCCTTAGGACTTTTGACTTTCCGGGGTGGATCCTCAATCCAAACAACTCTGATAGGCTGTTCAAAATTATGATTTTTGCTTGCATCTGTTCCTGAATGTGTGACAGCAGAGCCAAGTCATCTGCAAAATCCTGATCGTCCAACTGTGTCCATGGGGCTCACTGTAGGCCATTTCTGTGTCCTCTTAAGGTTTCCTTCATCAGCCAGTCGATTGCCAAGATAACGAGGAAAGGTGATAGTAAACATCCCTGTTTCACACTGGTCTTGATGTCAAAGCTGTCAGTGAGCTGGGCATCACGTATAACCCTGCAACGTGCCCCGTCGTAATGCTCCTGAGGATGTTAACCACCTTCTGTGGGATTCCATGGTGTCTCAGTATCTTCCACAGTGTTGCTCGGTCATAGTGAAGAAAGTTGACGATCAACTGAGAGTTCCACTCTAGGGACTATTCCACAATGATCCTCAGCGTGGCAATCTGGTCCGTGGTTGACTGATTTTTCCGAAAACCAGCCTGTTCATCCCGAAGTCTTGGATCCGTTGCAGACTTGATTATCTCCAGAATGATTCTGTTGAAGACCTTACCTGGTATTGGGAGATGAGTGATTCCTCGGTAGTTGCTACAGTTGCTGAGATCCCCCTTTTCAGGAAGTTTCTCAAGGTGTCCTTCTTTCCAATCCTTTGGGAACTTACTCTCATTCAAGATCTTGGTAAACAACGGGAGAAGGAGGTCTGCCGTCACATTGGCATCTGCTTTTAGGGCTTGAGGTTGAATCTGATCACGAACGGCCACTTTACCGTTGTTCAGCTTCTTAATGGCATCCATAATCTCTTGTTCTGATGGAGCATCACAGCAAATTGGTAACTCATTTCTTGCAGGCAGGATATTTGTCAGGTAACTTGGTGGTGGTCTGTTCAGGAGACTGTTGAAATGCTGTACCCGTCGTCTTGACTGAGCTTCCTTTCTAAAAAATGTTTTTCCCTCTTGGTCCTTTACTGTTACTTCTGGTTTCCCATATTTTCCAGAAAGAGTCTTTGTAGTCTGGTAAAGAATTCGCATGTGCTCTCCAGCTGCTGTCTTCTCTGCCCACTCTGCCAGCCTGTTCATGAATTCCTCCTTGACCTCTTTACGTCTTTAGCTGTTGTCCTGTACTGCTCCGGGACGCCCGCTTTTGACCCCGTTGTTCTACTTGCATTTTCCTCTGCTTTCAATTGTCTTCTAGTGCTAATCAAATCCAATGACCGTTGGCTAATTCATTCCTTGTGCTCCAATTTCTTCTCACCAAGTATTTCTTGATATGTTGAAGTAAAGAAATCTTTGACCTTGATCCAGTGCTTCTTCACCTCCATGTCCTCCTCACCAAGATCCGCCAAGGGTTGAAATCTGTTCCTCAACTGCTGTTGGAACTCTCCTTTCTTGTGGGAAGACTTACTTGGAACTTCGTTCTTTTGGTTCCTGTTTTGGGTTCGTGCTTTTTGAGGCAGAGCTTGAGTTTTGATAACTGCTGATGATGATCCGATTAAACGTCTGCCCCTCTCTGTACTGTGACATCTTCCAGTGAACTCTTGAACCTACGTGAGATACAAAAATGATCGATCTGGTTCTCCGTCAGTCCGTCCGTTGATACCCATGTAGCCTTGTGGATCCTCTTGTGGGAGGGGGGGGGCAGAGCCTCCAATGACAAAACTGTTGTAAGCCCAGATATTTGCAAATCGCTCACCACTCTCATCCATTTGTCTCAAGCCTTGTTGTTCCATGATTCCTTCATAATCTACGTTGTCCTGACCAATCTTAGCATTGGCATCTCCAATTATGATGTTGACATCCTTACTTGGTAGTTTGTCGATAACCCTCTGGAGCCGGCTGTAAAAAGCATCCTTGTCTTCATCCGAGGCTTCATTTGTTGGGGCGTAGATCTGAACTATGTTCATGTTGATGCTCGTATTCCTTGTAGTGAATGAAGTCATGATGATCTCCTCTCCTTTTGCTTCCCATCCTCTAAGTGACTTCTGTGCATACTTACTCAAAATAATTCCAACTCCCTCCGCATGGTGCTTGTCTTCCCTCTCAGAATACAATATTAATTTGTTCCCCCCGAGCTGAGCTGCTTCTGTCCAGACTGTATCCAGAGGGTTTCACTTGTGCCACTTGAGAACTCTTTCCTGCTTCATACATTGTGAGAACATTCCACGATGCAATCCGGAAAGACTTGTTCGACAGAGGTTTCGGGGCAAAAGAGTACTGTCGGCTTTGTCCGCTGTCCCTCATTGTTCCTGTTGATACAGAAGCTCTTCCGTCTCCAGAGATGGAAAAATACTAAGGCGTGTTTGTTCGTGTTTCTATTACTTTCCGTTTTTTACTGGGTCGGGTAGTTGGCCCTCCGCAAACTGGCACTTTTCGGGTGACCAGACCTTTATTGTTTCAGGAACCAACATCTCAGCATTCCGGATATTATGTCTCTCCATTGATGCTCCATCTTTCCACTGATTGTGCCAGAGCATATCTGGTTGAACGTTCTTCTGTTCTTTCCTGCAAGGATGCCTCATTTTCCGCTCGCTTCCTTTTTAATTTGTATTCCCAAAAGCATAATCCTCTCAACAGCAGTACTGGCTTCTGCCTCCCTATCTTCCTCTTCAATCAGCTGGCGAGAGAGACATTTCAGGGACTCGACCTTATCTGGTTGAACCGTGCAGTCAACTGAGGTGGCCTTACCAGCCAGTCTGTCGGCTTTTTCATTTCCCTTAACGCCTGCATGGACAGGAGAGAAAATCCAGTGAGCGATCGTATAGGTGTTGCTTCGATAAGTTGAATCCATTCTGTTCTCAGAAAATCATTTTCAATCTATCTGAAGGTACACATGGAATCGGTGATGAGAACAGCATGGGATGTGTGGGGTCGATCTTGGGTCATCCATTCAAGTGCTTTCGAGATGGCTTCAATTTCCATTCGCATACTTGATGTAGACCTGCTGCAGGCTCCAGATGCACTGTGGATGATGTTATTGTTGGCGAATGCAATAAATCCCCTTCCACTGCGCTGGCTATCTCATTTCTCTGAGCCATCTGTATAAATTTTCTTTTGAGTTTTTGTCCACAATCTCGTTGATGTTACTCTCGTTGATGGAAGCCGCAACATTTCTTCTGTCTCTGCCTATGCTTATTTTGACCTTGGTGAGGTCCCTGTATTTTCCCGCCACCTGTTACCATTCTTCGCCAAGTGGTAGTTTCTCAGGCACACAGATTTTTCTGAGGGAATCCTCTGCTTCCGCCATCCAATATTTTCCTTTTATGATTCAGCCTCTCTTGTAGTCATGAAGTGCTTTGTTAAGTGGATAATCCTTCTTGCCCATTACACTGAGATACATCTTTGTCTGAGCTATCCTTTGGCGTACTCTGATGCCACTTAAACCTAGCAAGTAGCTCATGCACACTATTGGAGTGTCCTTGGTGCAGCCCAGCACTGCTCTCAATGCCTCATTCTGCACTCGATCCAGTTTTGCGATCTGTGTGTCGGACAGAGTGAGACAGCCCAACCCGTAATCAATGACAGAGATGACGACCAGCTGCAACATCAGAAAGAGCAGACTATGCACCTTTAGTCGACTTTTACAACACGTAGTATCATGGAACGTGTATTCTTTACTCCCCCATAGTAAAACTATGGGCCCCCCACCTGCAGGGGCGAGCTCTCACAGTGCTTAACTTCAATGACAGTTTGCCAGCTCTCACAGTGCTTAACTTCAATGACAGTTTGTCAGCTCCCACAGTGCTTAACTTCAAAGAGGCCAAAATAAAGAATCTCTGCTGTTCCGTTCAAAAAGAAGTTGGAAGATATTTAACACTCATTCAGTTTCAACTTATATTTAAAAAACAACAACAACAAATAAACAGCAGAAGACACAGTTGGCCCATTGAGACCAAATTGCCTTATGTCAGGTTAGCACCAATTTGTAATAATCAGACCAGGAAAACGACTATGGTACACCGTGAAGATCATGTAAAATTGAGAGGGCATCTTAAATGTATTTTCGTTCATATCAGTATACATCAACCAACATCAGCAGTTCAGGGAAAATTCCAAACGCAATTAGGACAGAGACAATCTGATATTTTACTCATTGTATAATTCAGTGTTCCTAGTTTTCAATAAAATAACACTGTGTATCCGTGTTGTATCCTCTTAGATTCTCTTCGATGCCACCGGAGAGACGGCTGGAGACAGCTCTGGAAATTCATCACCAAGCGAACCATTCCCAGGTTCTGAGAGCGGGTACGTAAATACGTAGACACTTTCATGGAGAACGATTTTCTGCCCTCAAATCAGATTTTATTATATTCGTTACTTGGTTTAAAAATAAATGGCAAAAGACGTAGATATTTGTTACGAACACACATAATATACATTAAAATCGTTTTTCCAACGTCTCTTTGGCGCAGGGCAGATACATACTGTGAGAAGTAAAAGACTATAATTATGTATGCCGCTTTCACTGGGAAGTAACAATCTTTCCATTTTCATTTCTACCATTATGATAGCTTTCAATTTAAGGAAACGGTACCGGTACTTGAACGGTATATCATATTACGTATTAATATATTCTATTTACGAAACATATACGTATGTATATCATTTCAAATCCTTAAAATTCTTCATACTGTGATTTTTTACGCAAAGCATACGTAAAGCCATAATATTCTTCTTTTACACCCATCTGAAACAAGGAGCAATATATACTTACTCCTCATTTTGTTTGAATCCTCTATTGCAATTCATCTCTTCTCTGAAACCCGTATAATCGTCTATAATCGTCTGTTTGTCTACGTTTTTGCAGTACACACAGGAGCCCTATTCTTTCGGAAAGAATGGACAGCGGCGAGAGGATAAAGCTCTGGCCCAATGCCACAGTGTACTACAAAGTTAAGCCAAACCTACACACGCCTACCGACCTCAGGCTCATCCAAACGGCCCTGGATCATATAAGCAGCTATACGTGCCTGAAATTCATCAAAAGCAGGTTCGAAATATTGCATGATCGCCTTATCTTCACCAATGGCGATGTCTGTTTTTCAAAACTTGGCTATCAGGGAGGCCGCCAGAAGATCATTCTTGAAAAAGCCTGCCGTTCTTATGGGCCGGGACATATTATTCACGAAGTGCTCCACGCAGTCGGTCTCCCCCACGAACACCAGAGGCTTGATCAGGCTGATCACATGAGAATCAACTACGATAAAATCGAGCCCTTCTTACACAATCAGTATAAACCTTACGGGTCTGGAGTGAACACATACGGGGTAGACTATGACTGTAATAGTATTATGCATTATGGAGGAGATGCTATAACCTCACTTGACCCAAGTTGTCAGAAAAAGATCGGCCAACGATGGGGAATGTCTTTCAAGGACATCAAACTTGTCAACCTGATGTACCAGTGCCCACATACCGGTGGCTGTGAGCCGAAGGATTGCGGACAGGATGGGATTCAGTTACCTAGGGCAAATGGAAAGCCCAGCTGCGAATGTTGGTGTGATTCGGGAAATGTGAAGGTCCCGTTGGTGTTGTGCTCTAACAGGACCCCAGCAATTCGAGCAGAGGTTACCGCCCCACCTAGCACACCAGAGCAGGAATGTTCTGACGGATGGAGATACTGTGAAAGGTTAAAAGAAGAAGGTGAGACAAGCTTCAACTATTCAGAATATTGTGCACAGTTTCTATGTAATATAAATACTGAAAACAATGAGTCAGAATCAGAACATTAGCTAGCTGGTCCTGGCTGATTTTAGTATGACAAGACACAATCAAGCAAATAGCATACGCTTTGAAACTAATCTATTATTTAATTACAACAATTCTTTGATCTAGTGCTAAGCATTCCTATTTAAACAGATACAGGGGATAAACAACTGAATGTGTAAATTTGTACTTTGCACTTTGAAGAGCTGTTCACTCTCTTTTTAAACACTTAATGCACACTTTAAAGCAGCAGTCATGGCACAGATTGTAGCAAGCGTATACAAAAGCATAGAGCTTGCTGTTGAGCGGGAATTTGCGTTATACAAATGTATTTTTTTTTAAAATATAATTTTTACTGACGTTTCTCCTTCTGTCTGCCACGTGAATTGGTCAGTGTGTATGTGTGTGAGCATGTGTGTGTATGTGTGTGTGTGTGTGTGTGTGTGTGTGTGTGTGTGCTCGATTAGACAAGTCGAAGTTCGACAGAAATTTAAAAAAATGATTATGAAGACGTGTGCAGCTAGATTCGTGAAATGAGACCACCGTCGCCTGTCGTTCTCAGGCAGTTGTGTAATATTGTCTGGGATTTTCCTCATTACTTGGCTGTTCATTGTGACGCGTTTGTTCTTTCGAGTTTTTGTTTCAACTCCCTTTGTAGAGGACAGAAGCATGATCAACAGAAAAGATTATTCAACAGAGAGCTAAACACATTGTCAATACACAGTTGTCACAGTTGTCTTTTGACATAACCTTGGCAGCATTTGAAATTCGTATACATATTCATTATGTTTTGTTATTATTATTATTATTATTA